TAGGGATTGTAGCCATTCATTTCCTAACAAGTCCCTGCTGAATGTAACTACTGAGTTTCCTCTAAATGTAACTACAGAAGACCCCATGTGACTATATATACCCCTGGACAAAGAGCCTGGAGAGAGACAGAGAGGGGGAGAGAGAGCTTTTCCCAACTTGGTTTGTTTCTCTCTGCCAGGAGTTTTGGGGTTTCTGTATTCTTAAATAAATCCTGTCTTACTACTGATCGGTGGTCCGTGGATTCATTCTTCAAATCACCCAGACCAAGGACCTACTGAAGACAAAATTCCAGTATCATCACCTGCTCAGGAAACTAAGCCTGGAAACTGAACCAGTCAACCCTGACAGCCCTTTCAACCTTTAGATTGTCTAAATCAGGGTATGTGGCCTTTTCACTTGCAAGCATGTTTTTAAAGGAGAGGGCAGTGCTTCAGCAAACTCCAGTTTTCATACCACTGGCCCAGGGTCCTGATTTTCTCTTGAGCCCCAAGGCTCAACCACCCTGAACCGTTTCTCCCCCACCCTTCCTGCTCTGCAGTGAAAGGAGCCCGGGAGCGGTGTTGACGCCCAATCCTTCCTAAGAACTAAACCCAGACTTGGCCGCCTACTGCCGGGGACGCAGCTACTGCCCGGGATGCAGCGGTGCGGAGTTTAGGAGCCGGGTCTGAACCTTTGATCAGACACGACTGTGACACCAGCGCCTGCCGTGGGCGGCTCACTTCCCCAAGGCATTCTTTTCCTGCTCTGTAAAATGGGAAAGAATACCCATCTCCTGAAGTCGTTGTGACTACGTGAGGTAACACCTCGAGTGCATTTAGAGTAAAGCCCAGCCAGCATAGAATGCCAAACAAATATAACCTGCAAGAAGGAAAAGCTCCGCTCGCTCCTCCGTGAGGCCCTCGCCCCACGGTCACAGGACCCTGGGCACTTCTCTCTCGCAGTTTTCCCGTTTGTTCAGCTGAAAGGTGGAAACTGCACTAGAATCAGCGAAGCCTTAGCAGGAGCTCCCTTTCTGATGAGAGGTGGCCCTGGACAGTTGCCACGTGAAAACCTTAAGCTAGAAAACAGTCCCCTTCCCTGGACACTTCCTAACCCTCAAATAATCTTAAGCTATTCAGCCCTGTTTCCTCCTGCGACAGAGCAGAGGGGTCCGGTGCCTCCCGCCTCCCGTGCCCTTAACCTCTGGCATTCTCTAACACTCAGGGCTGAAGATGCAAACCCTGACCCCTAGAAGCAGTGATGGAGCGAGCCGCAGCTCACGCACTTTCTACATCTATTATTTCTAGGCTAAAGTAAAAATACTGTTGAGTTGGACATTCGACTAAATTTTCATATTTTTTAAAAGTGGTCCAAAAGACTTTGAAAACTTTTAGTTCTCCTTTGAAAAACACCTTTCCCCCTCCTGACTACTATAGTTCTGGGTTTTGTTTTGCTGTTTTTGGTTTTTGGGGTTTTTTTGAGACAGAGTCTCACTTTGTTCCCCTCCATAAAGTGGTAGAGTCCCATGTCCTCATAGCTCACAACAACCTCGATCTCTTGGGTTCAATCCTCTTGCCTCAGCCTCCGGAGTATCTGGGACTACAGGCATCACAACGCCTGGTTATTTTTAAAGATAGAGGTCTCATTCCTGCTCAGGCTGGTCTCCCCACTCCTGAGCTCAGGCAATCCACCCCTCTAGGCCTCCCAGAGTGCTAGGATTATAGGCCTGAGCCATGGAGCCCGTCCTCGTGGTTTTGTTTGTAAAAATTGAAAATACATGAATGATGTGGTCCCATCATCATAAGCCCCACACACACATACGCACTGATTTTGTAAAAACTGAAATCAGGTGCCATAGGCAGGTATGTGCATCTGTTGTTGCTGTTTTTCCTTTCATTTTAATGATGAAAATTTACTACCTACGATTAAAATATTCTTCTCTGGTATATTTTTAATGTTTTTAATTTTTAGCATGTGGATATGTCAAAGTTTATTGTAAGCAATCTTCTGTTTCTTTACTATTAAAAAATAACACTGCATAAAATAAAAAATAAATGAATAAATAAAAAAGGTTTGGTGCCTGTGGCTCAAGTGGCTAAGGCGCCAGCCACATACACCTAAGGTGGCGGGTTCGAATCCAGCCCAACCCGCCAAACAATGACGGCTGCAACTAAAAAATAGCCGGGCCTTGTGGTGGGCGCCTATAGTCCCAGCTACTTGGGAGGCTAAGGCAGGAGACTCACTTGAGCCTAGGAGTTGGAGGTTGCTGTGAGCTGTGATGTCACAGCACTCTACCCAGGGGGACAGCTTGAGGCTCTGTCTCAAAAATTAAAAAAAAAAAATAACACTGCATTGACAGGCTTTTTCATTCATCTTGCGCACATCCCAGATTATTCTCTTAGAATAAATTGTTAGAATAATGAGGAAAACCTCTTTCCTCCATTTTGATCTAAAAGTTACATCACTGTTGAGACAGTTTGTAAGTAAGGAAAGTGAGAGACAATGACTCAGAAGGGTACACCCTGCATTAACCTACATCTTTTACTGTAAAAGCAGTCAATTATCATCAAAATATTGCCAGCACCTAACAGCCCACGTTCAAAGGACAACAAATAAAAACTGCTAGACATACAGGAGAACAAACTAGTCAGCCCATTCCTTGAAATAACACCCCACGGAAATACATGTATGCTCAACAGGGCACATCTGTGGAGTCTCACCACAGCATCCTGTGTGACCCTGAACAAACAGACACAACCCTGTGTCCTTCAGTAAAGGAATGGTGAGACAACCTAAAGTGCAGTCTTACTTAGGGATAGTCTGCAGCAGTTGAGAATAATGCACTCTATCTTCTGAAATAGAAATTAAGCTAGTTGCACTAAAACAAAAAATCATACCAGCTATTTTTTTTTTTAAATACCAAAGCAATACAGTAGATTTTCAGAGACTACAGCCATCTATGTAAAAGTAAGAAATAAAAGGGATGGAGGTTCCTCCTCCTGGAAGGAGACATATCAAACTCACTTCACCCCCTGAGGAATGGTGTAGAAAACCAAGGCTTGGCGGGTGAAGGAGTGAGCAAAAGGGATTTGCCTTTTTATATAATGTGTTATGTGAACATCTGCACCTATTATCTGTGAAAATGAAATTACTGTTAAAACGGTAGCTTGGGTGTGTTCTTGGCAGGAAATGAGACCTGGGGGATGGCCAAGGAGGACAACACAGTTCCCCTTCTGCCACCCACCCCTGCAGACAAGAAAACCAGCCTGCGGGAGTAGCACCCTCACACTTGGGCTCTTAAAAGGAAACAAAGCATTAAAATCTAAACGTTAAAAAGAACATAAAACTACTGTTTTCCTAAAGAATAAAAATTTTGCACATGTCTCTCAGAAACTAAAAGATCTAAGAGATTAAATATAGGGAAGACTAAATACAAAGGGTGCAAAAAAAATGTATACACGTTTTAAGAAAGGAAAAAAACAGGCTTGGGCCTGTAGCTCAGTAGTTAGGGGGCCAGCCACCTGCACTGGGGCTGGTGGGTTCGAACCCCACCAGGGCCTGCTAAACAATAACAACAGTAACAACAACAAAAAAAAACACACACAAAAAAACAGCCAGGCGTTGTGGTGGGTGCCTGTAGTCCCAGCTAGTAGGAGGCTGAGGCAAGAGAATTGCTTAAGCCTAAGAGTTTGAGGTTGCTGTGAGCTGTGATGTCACAGGACTCTACCAAGGGTGACATAGTGAGACTCTGTCTCAAAAAAGAAAAAAAAAAAAAAAAAAGAAAGGAGTCCAGGCGTGGTGGCTCACGCCAGTAATCCTAGTACTCTGGGAGGCCAAGGCAGGTGGATAGCTTGAGCTCACCAGTTCCAGACCAGCCTGAGCAAAACTGAGACCCTGTCTCTACTAAAAGTAGAAAAACTGAGACAAGAGGATACCTTGAGCCCAAGAATTGGAGGTTGCTGTGAACTATCATGCCACGGCACTCTACCCAGGGTGACAGCTTGAGACTGTCTCAAAAAAAAAAGGAAAAAACTGTATTACAGGTGTCATACTCAAGTCACATTTGACTTCTGATATTACA